AGCTGACAGACAGCTTCACACCTCTTGGAGTTTGGATAGCACACGGACTGAAGGCAAATAAGGAGGCCGACAGACCCATTGCCACGTCCGTTTCTGCTGCATTGGCGAGCAAACTAAGAAGTTTAGAAAAATCAGGAGACTACTCTGGAGGAGAGATGACGCCAGCATCCGAGGTGCGGATGGTTCTACGGGAACTAGTCCCACATCCAGGTAAGATGGGGATAAATTGTTCGCAAAGCATGACAACCGCGCGTGTGTTTCAAACTGATTGACTAGTGATTTTTCCGGTCCCTAGTCGCTAAAAAGCATAGTTCAGCCCCCCCGGTCTATAATTCTGTTCGGCGATTTTGTCTAGACAAATTAGTTAGCCACGCTTTGGGTGCGCAACTGACTAAGGTTACACATGTGCCAGTGTAGGTGAACCAAATGGCCCATGAGCCGACATAGGGTATTAAAATCCGACAACTTTCGCCTGCACCGTCGGTAATAAGACTGTCTTTTTTCACCTCATGCGGCCACCCGCGATGAAGGTGTGACCCACTAACCTCTTTGCAAGCACATTGCACGTGCACACGGCACGGCCTGGTCATATGGGACAAAAAACTGCCTCCTGTAAGTACACCGAAGCCTGTGACATTCACTGCCCTTTTCGATTTATTTTCTCATTATGGATTTACTTATGATGTCCACACGTCGGGGTAAAAAAAGGCTGTTGTTTCAAAGATCGTGTTCTCTATTGTAGGCTCTCGCTTCTGAAATTTTTTTTCTTTTCCAGAAAACAGACATTTTCGAAAGAACAATTTCACACAGACCACGACCTTAAGACATACTCGTGCATAATTTAAATAGATTTTTTCTAACATGATATCAGTGACATTGACCAAAATCCTGAAACCCTACTTTCCCTGATCAAGAAATCAGAAGATTTTTGCCATTCCTAGATTTATGATAAAAATATTTCTGACTAGCCTTGCTCAGTCCCCCTTAACTGGTTACGTCTATTATTAATTAACGTCTACTTTATTTTGAAAGCCTTCACATTTTTTTCTTTTAAATATACGTCTGCAGTCTCAGCTTTTGGATTGTGCTAGAAGTTGATGTGTGCGCTTGGTGCAGATCAGTTTATTCAAAATCTATAATGCAAACCGAAATTTGATGTAAAGACTTTGCATATATAGTAGTCCCCGAAAATCACGCAACGCGCAGACATGCGAAATATTGATACTATTTCGTTGATCGACATTGACTCAAGTTGTGATACTGAAGATATTTCAGTCATGATAAGATGCGGACTTTTTAACGACCTTCGTTTTGACCACTAGGAATACGTCTATATTGTTAACACTGGCTGATTAAGTAGTATGCCTTTTTATCATTTATTTTGACTGCCCTCATAAATTTAAATATATTTTATGGAAAACATGCACAAGAGAATTATTTCTTGTACTTGGTTGATATAAAATTACACCTTCTTTAAATTCTATACTCAAAAAAGGGTATCATTCGGTTTTTAGAAAAGTTTCTACTTATGAGGTTTTTCACGATTCAAAAATGTTTATTCATAAAACCTTGTATCTGTCAATTTACTGATGCTGTCTGTACTGTATGAAACATGTTCCGCATCTATTGCAATAATTAAGGACAACTCTGTGACTTCTTTCTTAAACTAGGCGAAAACGTATTTTTCCTTTATGAGGATGCACACAATGCGCAGTTTTTAGACCTTGAATTCCAGTGTAGCAGTCAATTGTTTGGAAAATTATTCGGCTATTGAGAAAATATTCTTAAAACCAAAAAATTACCCTTTCTTTGGGTATAACATTTAATAAGGCGTAAGTTCCTATCAAACAAGTATGATAAATAATGTTTTCGTGCATACTTTCCATAAAATACATTTGAATTCATAAAGGCAGTCAAAAACGATAGGATGCCGGCTATTTGACAAACATTTTTGTGGCCGCTAACAAAACGCATGTACTGTACAAAGTGGATACCTAAATAATATTTATTTTTATTATGGATTTTAACTGCTTTCATAAATTTAAATATATTATATGGAAAAAATAAGGGAAGGAAATCATGTATTTGAGAATTTTGATAGAAACTTACGCCGTCCTTATATTTTATACTTAAAGAAAGAATAACTTTTGGTTTAAAAAAATCCTACTTATAATATTTTATACGATTGCGAAGTGTTCATTCGTTATATACCACATCTGTCAATGTATTACTGCTGTCTATAAGTAATACATAGACTTCCACATCTGTTGCAACATTTTATGAGAACTATGTGGCTTCTTCCTGTAACCATGGGTGAAAACGTATTTTTCCTGAAGCACAATATACGCAGCACACAGTATGTAAACCTTCAACTCATGTTTAGCGATCAGTAAGTTTACAAATTACTCGGCAATTAACAAACGTTTTTTTATAAACTGAAAGATACCCCTTCTGAGTTTATTTAATTTAAAGAAGGTGTAATTTTCTAACATATTAATCCAATAAATAATTTTTTTGTGCATGTTTTCCATAAAATATATTTGATTTCATTAAGGCAGTTAAAAAAAATGGTAAAACATATACTATTTAACTGGTTACTTTTTTCAGTACATCCGTTTTGTCAGCGGTCAGAAAGAAGATCGTTAAAAGCAGGCATCCTATGGCGGCTGAGATGAATTCAGACTAGACTTCACCATAAACATTATTACAAACTTGCTCAATGCTGATGAACAAAAGAATATATATTATTCGCATGTGCGGCCAGCAGAAGCAGAACACCAGCAAAACATGTATCTACATATTTTAGCTAGTAGTTAGTGGTATGTAACAACATTAATATATAGTACTGCAGTTTGTCCGCTGGCAATAGGCGTATATTACGCAGTTGTTTTTGGGTTTTGACCTACACTTACACTCAAAATTTCGGTCCGACGTATACCGCGAATATAATTTAATTTGTTAGGAAATAAAAATGTTTTAAGCTAGTACCTGCACTGCCAGTATGGCAGATAAGTCTATAATTTTAAGTCTGCTGCTTCCGATGGTCGTCTGAAAGTTTGTATTCTCAGGGCAGTTTACGCGTCATTAAATCGTTTATTTGAGGTAGGAATCTGCAAGCTTCATATCTTAGAATTATAGAAGCAAAGCTTAGACGTAAATGGAAAAAGTATATACTGCAGTACTTTTAATTACGGTTAGATCGATAGACTCAAGTTGCTATATGCAGCGTTTTCGACTCAAACTTTTCGGCAAGTATGCATTTCCTATGAATGATTTAGTTGGCGTTTGTCATCTGTAATCGTATTCGCCGCTCTCTAATAAAATAACCTATAAAACACCCGCGTAATGCAAAAGGCCTTGAGCTCAAGTCCAGAAAAATAAGGGCTAGGGATAGAATTATCGTTGCGTTTTGAGATAGAACAAGTGGCTGGTTACCCCTCCTGGAGTTTAGCGTTAATGCAAACTGTATTCGCCTAAAATCTATGGGCCTGCATTTTCCTTCCGTAGGTTTTTGGCTTCCTAAATCACTGGAGAGGTATGACATACAGTATAAAAAAGGCTGTGTTAAGCTGCGCGTGTAATTTCGGTATTATAACTTGATTTGTGATGGTATGTTTTAGCAGTCATTAAATCCACAATCTAAGAGTTGCAACGGTTACCTCTGACTTTAATAGGCTTGACCTGAAAACCTCCTTCATATTTTCTCCTGCAAACGAGAACGCAATTTCCAGTCCTAAACGTACCTTCTCCGGCTAATTTAAGTGTTTTAAATAACATAGATAAACTATTAGTTTATACCCTGTATTGTTTTCTGCTAACTGTTGTCATTAAACAGCGTTGCATGATAACAGAGTAAAAGGCCACCGGCTTTAGGATCGGTGAGTTGTGATGAAATTAAAGTTGACAAAAACAAAACAGTAGAAAGTGTGCGTAGAAAAAAAGAAGAAAAAAGGAAACCACCCCCAACTGCAAGTCCCACCTAGCTGTCTGCTTTCTGCAGATCGGCAAAGCTCACCCTCTTATCCTTGGCCGGGGTACTTCTTCTCCGACAGAGTGACTTCAGTCGCACAGGTTCCTGCCCTGAACTTTCACTTGCGCCCCCTTCTTCCTCATCAGCGGCTTCCTGCAACCGACTGTCCTCTTCCCCCTCCTCCTCCGGGGTAGGGTTGATAGCCGTGGGCAGAACGTTAACAAAGGGCATCAGAGCACCGTACTGCAGGTGCTTTTCAAACTCTCGAAAACCCGCAATCAGCATGTTGATGTCCACATTGTTATCACATATCAGACTGCCATCGGGTCCCGTCTTCAGCACCAGCTCTGTGACAGCGTTGTGATGACGACCATGACGGATTTTATAGGTCCCTGAGATCATACTGGATAGGCGATGAGCTGGTCGACGTTCAGAGCTCTCCCTCCAGCAGCAGGAACCCAGCCACTGATAAGATCTCTCACCATCATCATCATCGTCATCCTCTTCCTCAACTTCCACAACCTTTACCGGTTTCGCCTGTTTCTGGCGGTTATAC